TTTTTTTTTTTAAATGATGATAAAGTTTGGCTGCAGACGTATTTAAAATCCATCTAATTTCTGTTGAAACGGTTTTTTAAAAAGTTTCAAATAATATTGGTGGCACAATTTTTAAGGACATTCTGGAAAATGTGATTTCATATGGCCGCAGTCCAGTCCAATTTAAGGTTCAAAGGTCATATAATCTGTTACTTTATTGGTAGGCCTGCTTTGAACAACAAAATCTACATTTAATTACTTAAGCCTCTTCTCCCCCCAGCCCCCCCCCCCCGCTCCCCATTCCACCCGCCCGCCCGCCCGCTCGTCCTCGCTGTTTATTGTGTATGTTTTACTCCTCGAATCCCAGTGTCCACTTCTCAAAAAGGCGAGAGTCCTCCTCAGCGTTCCCGTGTTGACACGGTCTAATGATTTCCCAGGTAAGGGCCGTCCAAACAGTGCCGCCACTCACCTGGCCACTTGGCGCTCGGGCTCGAAGAAAAGCGCCGCATTAAAATTGACAGGCGCTCAAATAATGACATTTATTTGACAACTCTACAGAAGCCGCCATTACATCCCGCTGGACAAGACTTCATTCTGGGCGTAGCTTTTTACCGTAATGCGACGTGTGGACATTTCTATCAGACGTCTCTCGTTAGGCTTGATTGAAATCAAACACTGACGTCGAACTCGGCTGGATACATTAAATGAGGCCTTGCAAGAGTCGTGGGTGACGTGGGATGGGAATCCTTAATTTTTTCATCACATCGTCTCAGTATCGAGTCCATCATCAGGTCACAGCATTGGGTCCATCATCAGGTCACAGCATTGGGTCCATCATCTGGTCACAGCATTGGGGCCATCATCAGGTCACAGCATTGGGTCCATCATCAGGTCACAGCATTGGGTCCATCATCCGGTCACAGCATTGGGACCATCATCAGGTCACAGCATTGGGGCCATCATCAGGTCACAGCATTGGGTCCATCATCAGGCTACATCATTGGGTCTTTCATCAGGCTACATCATTGGGTCTTTCATCAGGTCCCAGCATTGGGTCCATCATCTGGTCACAGCATTGGGTCCATCATCTGGTCACAGCATTGGGTCCATCATCTGGTCACAGAATTGGGTCCATCATCTGGTCACAGCATTGGATCCATCATCTGGTCACAGCATTGGGTCCATCATCTGGTCAAAGCATTGGGTCCATCATCCGGTCACAGCATTGGGTCCATCATCTGGTCACAGCATTGGATCCATCATCTGGTCACAGCATTGGGTCCATCATCTGGTCACAGAATTGGGTCCAAAAATGGGTCATTGCATCAATGTTAACCTCATGTTGGTCACAACATAAAATTTAATTGTCTGTGGCTGTAGGAGAAAAGAACTATAAATATCAATATATTGTTAAGGTTATCGCGGTTGGGACATAAACTCAACACTTACCTAAAAGTATATCTTAAGAAAAACAATGATATTTGCATGACTTAAAATTTAAAAAAAAAATAAAAATGTTTTTTGAATTTTTAAAAAAAAATATTTTTCAATTTTTAATGTCATTTATATAGACATTTTTGTGTTTCGCTTATTCCACCCAAAGCCGCAAAAAAAAAAAAAAAGAAAAGATAAGCCACGTTACAAATGAGGGCTTTATGAGAATCCCAATAAGTGATCACTTCCACTCAAGACTTGCAACCGCACAGATTTTTCACCCCCTGAACTATATCAGTATTCTATTGACCCACCCACTTTTACAGGGTGGCTTTATTTCATCATCAATTTTTTTTAGACAAAAACAAAAGAAAATAGTATGCATCAAACGCACTTGCGATATATTTTTTAAAATGAATGTCATTTGGCGCAGTTATCGGGAATTTTATTTTATCTTTCCTTTGAATTACAGAAAAAAACTGTTTTTTTTTGGGGAGGGGGGTGATTTAGGGTGGGGCAGAAAATTAGATGAAATACTTTGTCGTCGGCAACCAGTCTATGTGCTAAGTTTCAGCTCGATAGTTTGACGAGAAGTGAAAAAAAAATTCCAATGTGAAGATTTTTGCGAGCCAGCTATCCACCCACGAACCAAAACGAATTTAATATAAGGGATTTAAAAATATTTTTGTAAAACTTCTTGGAGAAAAGAGCGAGGACATAGGTTCCGCTTTCATGTAATTGGTCGCTGCAATGGTTCGGCTATCTAAACATGGATTGGATGACGATACCGTGAAATGAAAGGAAAGAAAATTATGTAGATTAAAAGTATACAAAAAGTCGAGGTACCACTGTATACTGTATATATATATATATATATATATATATANATATATATATATATATATATATATATATATATATATATATGTATATATATATTATTGGGTTTGTTTAAATTATCCCACTCTAGCTGCAAAAGAGTTTTTTTTAATAATGAACATGATTTAGTACCCAACCAGACCTGACAAACTTGGGCGTAACCAACGGGCAACATACTTTGTTTTACAAAAAGGTTGGACGTACCCAATACATCCTGTATGTGGCATTCGTTTTCTGTTTCCATTTTCTCCTGCTACCGACCTGAAAAAGATTAAAGCCCGGTAAGAGCACATTTTAAAAAAAAAAAAAAACCGCCGAGAATTGTATTTTTCTTTCGTCTCCAAAGATGTCTATTACTTTTAAGGGGAAATGTCTCATTTTATTCCATGGACATCCGAAAGTTCTTCCCGACTTTTCCCGGACAAGTCATTTTTAAGTCGTATTGGATGACGGTCCAGAGTGAGCAAGATTAATAAACTGGAGTAAATTACGAAAATAAGTTCGAGAACCGCTGAAGTGAGTTATAATAATTTTTTTTTAATAAGGAGTGTAGAGTTAGGGAGGAGAAGGGTTGAGGGGCGAAGTGAGGGTGGAGTTGAGGAGCGCAGTGAGGGTGGGGGTTGAGGAGCGCAGTGAGGGTGGGGGTTGAGGAGCGCAGTGAGGGTGCGGGTTGAGGAGCGCAGTGAGGGTGGGGTTGAGGAGCGCAGTGAGGGTGGGGTTGAGGAGTGCAGTGAGGGTGGGGTTGATAAAAACTTTGAATGAATATCAACGTATCAGCTTTATAACAACGCAAACAGTCTAATGCCAGGAAGCAGTGACACCACATTGAATCATATTTACAGTA